CGACCATCTTGCAAATAATAAACTTATGTAAGCACACTAAATTGAATTCATGTAATATAATTCGATTACAATTATAATAATATACAAAAACATACCTCAAAAATCATGAAATATTATTACAAGAACATTCTTGTAAGTATGCGAAAATGCTCCCCTACCCACGGTGGGCACATGTTAATATGTCCACCGCTTATGTGGCATGCACACATTGGTGATGTATTTTTTTTAATATATTAACATCACTAATGTATGCATGCCACATAAGCGGTGAACATATTAACATGTACCAACCGTGGGTAGGGGAGCATTTCCCTGTAAGTATGAGCTTCAATTGTCCTTCGAAATATTTGAACCATTCAGAGCATGTTTGTCCTTTTTATGTCCTTGATGAATCTTTATAGTTTTGACATTTTGATGTGCTAATAACAAAAACTATTTTGACCGGGGGCTGAATTTTTGTGTGTTTTGTGTTTCATGAAATTTATAATGAAATGCATCTAATTTATGTAGATAAAAAATGAGGTGATGAGACTAAAAGAGAATTGAAGGATTTTGAATATTTGTTTATACATAAATCAATTTTGTGAATTCGGAAAAAAAGTTAAGAATATTAATTCTGAGAAATTGTATGTCTAAAATTTTGTACGTTTCATATTTAATCGAGAGATTGAGTTCCCAAAACCGTACAATTTTTTGTTATGAATTTTTAAGATGGGGAAGGCATGAAAATCAATAAAATTGTTGGAAATTCAAAAATTAGTTTCCGTTATAAATGGCATGTTTAAAAAACATATTATTTTGTTAATTAAGAATTGGAATTTGTATCAAAGTGATAAGTTTATTATCTTCAAATTTTACAACTAGGAAAACAATTATAGTCTANGCACATAAAACAATATAATAACATATAGTAGGGTCGCAGCATGTACATGAGTCAATCAACAAACATCACATATCCTAATGCTCTAGTGTACACCCCATATAGCCGTTGAAGGTCGAAATGCGACGGGAGCACATGTGAATGGTCGATCCCGCATCCAAAGACATGGCCTGTCATTAGGCTAAGAGAGATTGCCTCTCATTGGGCACCGTCGACAGTCAAAACCGCATCCACCGACTGGGATACCTAATCGAAGGTCGAATATGCATCCTACGATAGGATCGCGGTTCATATACATACATTGATCATAAAATCTAGCAATTATACAGATTTATGGCAGAGTATTTTAAAAACGCCCACCTGGTCAATTAGGCAGTAAGAAAAGCTCGGACTGCAGAGTAGGTTGAGAGCTCGGCTTTTCAAACACCTACATTTAATCAAGATAATATTCATCAATATTATTATGTTGACACTTAGAAAAATTCACGAGGATTCAAACTTAGTCGAACATTATCGACTAAGTGGTTCGTGGAATTTTGTGGAATGTGGAACTCTTGGATTAAAGAGATAGACTCGGAAAAATCATTTATAAACATTAAAAATTGACTAGACATGAAAAACGAGGTCAACGGGTCACAAATAAGTCAAACGGATCGGGAAAAACGAAAAATGGTTCGACGCTATTGGGCAAAATGGATTTCACCTGGGCTCCTTCAACTCGGACAACCTCCATACCTGCAAGAACCCAACGTCGGGAGGGGTCCCGGCGTCGGGCCTTCAACGCTCAAGTCAATATCACTCCAAATCCCAAGAGTATAATTATGATGGTAGAGAGAGAGTGAGAGAATGAGATACCTTAGCCCCCTTTTATAAGGGGGGTGTACCTTATGGCCCAAGTTGGGATTGTCCAATAGCATCATGCCACATGTCCTGGCCATGTGTAGGCTTATTCTTCAATATATTCCCTTTTTATCCATTAAACCCGGTCTACTATAATATCCTATATCATCNATGTGAGATATTATACTAGACCAGTTTAATGGATAAGAAGGAATATATTGGAGAATAAGCCTACATATGGGCTAGGACACATGACATATTGGTTCAAACCCAACTTGGACACTAAGGTACACCTCCCCTATAAAAGAGGGCTAAGGTATCCCAAAAACTCATTTTCTCTACATTCATTACGATGCTCTCATATTGAACTCTCTCTAGCAAGTGCTGACTAAGGCATCGGAGGCCCGACGCCGGGATCCCTCCCTGCGATGGGTTCTTGCAAATACGNGAAATCAAATACAATTACTTCGGATAATGTAAAATCATTGTCCGTTAAAAAAAGCATGTTTCAAAAGTCGAGTGTTTTGTTTATTAAGAATCGATTTCGTATCAATGATGTAAGTATATTATTTTTATACTTTTAATGAGGAAAAAAATTAATGTATATCTTGTTTAAAATCAGGCCATTTCGTATATCAAAATTTTATCATCTAAATCGTTGCAAAATCGGCATATTAAAGTTCCCAAAATCATAGAATTTTTTGTTATGTATTGTTGAGATATTGAT